TTGTGTGTGTCTTGGGGTCCATAGTACCATATCACATATAGTTACATTTTATTTTAAAGGAGAAATATGGGGTAAGTGTTTTTCCCCATACTTCTCCTCAGGGTCACGGGAGGACATAAACTAGTGTCCTCCCGTGACCCAAAGCTCAGTATACTGCAAGCTACAGCTCGCGGTATACTGACACCGCCGCAGCTTGGACTGATCCCGACATTACTGTCGGGATCCACCCAGCTGCGTGAGTGACAGCGGGCTCTGCCTATCTAGAGGCAGAGCCAGCTCTACCCGCCCCCTCCCCCCGTTCGTTCCTCCAGTCAGTGCTGGAGGATCGGGGATGGAATCCCTGCCAGGGGACTGACAATCGCGGCTCTCTGCAGGGACAGGATCGAGAAGTGAGCGAGCGACGGTATGCGTTCACTCACTTCTCGACCTATTGATCCGACGTGTGACACTTTCATTGTCACACATCAGCTCGAACTATGAGGATCAGTGATTTTCACTCACCTCATAGTTTTCCTTTAAAGTTTGAAATTTGGCGAGCGGCCCCCATGGGAGAAAAACATTTGTTGAGTGGCCCTCGAGGGAATTGAGTTTGAGACCCCTGATCTAGACCAATACCACCATTTACATAAAAAATATAATATATACAAATAATGTTAAATAGACAAATATTAAAACAATCATCACCACTATTCCGTAGCACTGACGTGTGCAGAAACTGTGCAGAATGTAAAATAAAAATTCACTAACATTCTGCACTTCTGTACACATTCTCCTATTTGTGAGTGTATGCTACAAAAATGACACAATGGAAAGTATTGTGATGATTTTTAGAAAATAATATACACAAAGGCGATAACCAGATGAATCCACTAGCCATATATAAACCCTATTTATTTGAAATAGATGATATATATCCAATCCATTGGAACCCAGATTAAAAATAATTAATAAAGCAAGTTAAATTCAAATTCTAAGACCATTAGGTACCAATGTATTGGCTTTTTGTATCCAAACCGATTCTTTTTTAGATAAGTCCCTTACTATATTAGTCCCTCTCCAATGTGGTTTGATTTTTTGTGGTTTGATTTTTTCAGTCCCCCAGAACTTTAGACCTCTAGGATATTTTCTATGATATCTTCTAAAGTGTTTGGAAACAGAATGATTTTTGTATCCTATTTAATGTTGTACACATGTTCATGTATCCTGTCTGCTAGACTCCTCTTAGTCCTCCCAATATAATGTAGCCCACAATGGCATCAGGGGTGTGGAATTCGTATCGCCCAACGCCCTGGACATGTAGTTCCGGGCGCCGGGCAAGTCGTTTTTTTCCTGTTTTAGCCCTGCTACGGACAAGTAGCAGGGCTGGTTTCATTTTTCTAAACGAGTAGCGCTGCGAGCGGGAGGCGTGGACCGGCGAGAGCGGCGCTGCGAGCGGGGGGCGTGGATCGCCGAGAGCGGCGGCCGTGGCCCGAAGCGTGCAGTGCCGATAGCGGGGGGCGGGGCCAGAGCGTGGAGCACTGAGAGCAGCAGGGAGGCCGGAGAGTTGAGAGCGCGCGGGGGGGGGGGGGGGGGCCGGGGAGGAA